TCCAGAAATCACTGCTGCTTCACTCTGCTCATTCGTTGTCTGCTCTGGTCTAGCTCACAGTCCTCAAACTTTTTTGAGGCTGGGTTCCAAAATCAGCAGCTGGAGCCCAGAGTCCAAAGTCCAGTATTCACTGACAGACAGCATGTGTAACATTTAAAGCCCAAGGTTGCTTTTTTCTGGAATTAATTACACAGTGATTCTTTCTTCTCATACCTTCCCCAAGTTAGCATTTGACAGAGACAGAGCTGCCATAAAGGATTTTAGGACTGTCACATTGACAGGGCTGTGAATGTTCTTCTGTGTCCTCTGGGAGTAGCTCAGTAGCTAGGAGTTTCAGTCCTAGTGAAAGTTGACAATTTTCTGTCAATGCTGATGCCCTTTCTAGAGGCAGTGTGGATGAGACAACTGACTAAATTCCTGGTCATGCTGAGAGGGACTTGAGCAGGTCTTGGTTTTAGCAGGAGGTCAAGGAGTTGTGGAAGTTGTCAAGAATGTTGTTGAGCAGACGCTGAAGCAAAGTCACATCTTGCCAGAAAGTTGTCAGTCCATAAACTGAAACTGTCCAGGCTTCACAACCAATGCTGGCTCAGACAAACGCCGAGTTTCCCTTCAGCAGAGTATGTGGTCCTGTGCACTCCAGCAGAATTGAGTTTGGGGAATTCCAGGCAAGGATGTGCTAAGCAGGCTGCTGGTAAGGACCACCAAAGAGATGCAGCCAGTGGAGTCCTGAAGCATCCCTCAAAGTCATGCTCAGAAGTGCCACAGATGTAAGGGGACTTGTTAGAGGGTTGTGACACTCCCAGTTGAGCTCTAAAAAGATGCTGAGAGCACCACATTAGTGTGACAGGTTGCTTTAAGAAAACAGTGGGAAAGGTCTCAAAGGTTTAAAGGTTTGGGATGGTTCATTTGAAAGTTACATGAGAGTTTTCTATGGTGGTATATGTCAGAGAGACAATCCTTTTACTCAGTCAACAGTGAATGGGTGAAGGAGAAAAGAAATATATGAATCCTAATGACTGAAAGGTTGTGCTTATGGAATAAGTATCCCTGCAAGCTGCTGATAGCAAATAGCCAAAGCTGGAGCTGCATGACAGCTGCCATGGTTCAGTCCTTGCATGGAGGGGAAAGTCACCTCTGTAAAATTATCTAGTGTCAGATCCCTCCACTCATCTGCCAGGTGCCTGTGAGGGTCAGGGACTGGAACCTGGCCCAGCACTCCAAATTCACATCATCAAATACTAGGGCAAGGGAACCAGGGCAAAGCCCAGAGCCCACTTTCCAAGGTGTATACAGTTTGTTTTGTTAGATGAAGGGTGTTTGCCTCTCATATGTGGCACTCTGTCCCAGATCACCTTTGTGCCCCTTGTATAATGAAAGGTGTATATAATCATAACACAACTCCACCACCAACATAATTTTCTTCACACGTGAACAGCAATAAGGCATCCACAGTCTTTTTTTCCAGAGCTACAGTTGTAACTGTTTTAATAAAAGACACACAAGTTGTCGTTGTGGTGTTGTCACCTTTTGTTCCCTTGCTCTTGCTCCCCTCTCCCCCGTGTCAGGGTGGTGGCATTTGCACTGAACTGCTGTGAAACACAACTTGCCTCCCAGCCCAGGTCTGCCAGGCTGGCCACGCTGGCAAGAAGCCTTCTGCCAGCACAGCAGTCTAGGCATTGCTCCTGTCTTTTCAAGAAGGTGAAACAGCACTAAATATTATAAGAAAAGTCTGTCTATTCTTGGAAGAGAGTTGATTCTGTATTCTAAACATACTAACAGATTGTAAACTCAGTGGCTGGGCTCAGGTCAAACAAAAGGGACCTGAACCAAATGCAGAGTAAGGGCTCACAATTTGCATTACCTAAAAAAATCACAAGAAACTTATAAGGAGATTAGTTTAGAGAAACACTGAGTGAGGCAGGGAAAAACACAATTTTCCTTGCCTCATCTTAGGCTGCCTAATGTGGGCACAGCTGCTCTAACCCAGAGCTCTAACCCAGCTCTGCATTATAGCATTTTTCTTTACTTTAAACAAAACAAAGTCCTGCAAAACATAACACAAACCAGAGTTCTGGGCTTGGAAATTTGCAGCCCTCATTTTCCATGAGCCAGATAACAAAGCAACGCAGAGACCAATCTTGAAAATGTTCCACAGCCCCCAGTTTGCTCCTAACAAGAAATAACAAACACACAGACACTTGGTTGGCTTTCTGCCCTAGAAAGGCCACAGTTCCCCTCAACGTATAGCTCTGAGATGTAAACAGGTTTCCCTTCTTTCTCTACCATTTTTCAGATCATTTAGACCACGCTGGCCTGTCACATACTGAAAGCCCTACCCACTGCCCCACCAGATGCAGGCTTTTAGGAAGTCAGGTTACGTGGTCACTATCCAGGAAGGGATGAGCCTTCAGGGCCTGCTCCCAGTTTAGACCAAGGCCAAACAAGTCCATCTCATCTGCCTTGAAGAGAAATGACTCATGCAGTTCAGCCTCATCTTATTTCTGTTCAGGATATATGATTTCTTTCCTTATCCTGCAGGCTGACAGAAACATGACAGAAGTGCCTGAGGCAGCTGTAGTTTAAACTTTCCAATTCTATTTCTGATGTTTCAACTGTCAGGAAAGCCAGTCTTCCAAGACATGCTCTCCCTCATCCTTTGTAGTAGTTTCTTAGTGCAGAGGCCTCTCCGTTATCCCATGGCACCTTTGAGGGATAGACAGCCCCACCAGAGTAGCACAGGCTACTTTGACTCCCTGCATTTCAATGCTAACAGCTTGTCCTAGAAACTTTCTTCAGAGGTCACCCACACTCTGAAGAGGAATACAGCAGTCATTCAGAGAAGCTGCTCCCTCCCTTGCCATCCTGCCAGGATGTGTGCAGAGAGCTGACATCTTCCAGCAGCAGCCTGGCTCCAGTTCAAGTTCACAACAAGGTGGGGACCAAGGGCTGGGACTGCAAAGCTCCAGATCACTTTGGCTTTGCAAGTGGCGGGATCAGGATGGGGAGAGACTTGAAGTGCTACTGAAGGTGATGGCTTAACTGCTTTTATTTAATCCATATTTATTCTCCTTGCTTTTTTTTACAGTAGACCTGGAACAAGTTGTTGAAGGAAACTTGGGAGAAACAAGCACAGCTTGGAAGACTTTTCTGATGTATGACAAAGCAAAGGGCTATCCTGTCACATGCCAGTCACCAGCCTGAAGCCTTAGTACATCACCACATCCCTGGTGGTCCCCAAACAGGGCTGGGACCCTACGAAAACTCACCCTGCTGCCATCACCTCTTAGAGCACATGGTTGTGGCCCATGCCAGAAATCCTTCCTGCAGGTAACCCTTCTGCTAAGGATAAAATTCTGACATGGATAAACATTTGTACTGATTTTTGCATGTAGGATCAGAGAGGCAGACAAAGCCTGTTGAGAGGATTCACAGCGTGTCACCCATCACCCTGTGCCCACAGGGACAGCAGGGCACGCCAGGGCTGGTGGCTGCAGGAGGAAGGCAGGGAGGTGCACAGAGGCCATTGGACACTAATGGCAATTGTGGCTCCCCCAGACAGGCCCAGGCAGCGGTCAGGGCGAGAGGAAGGAGGAGGGACGGGCATAGCGCAGCGGCCCCGCCGCCTCTCCCTCCTCTTCCTCCTCTCCCTCCTCTCCCTCCTCTTCCTCCTCTCCCTCCTCTCCCTCCTCTCCCTCCTCCTCGCGGCCGCCGCCCCGCGCGCGCCCCCTGGCGGCAGAGCGCCGCCACAGCCGCCCCCGCGGCCTGGGCCCGAGGTCGCGCTGACATTTTGTAAATCACAGAACCGCGGAATCACAAAACACTCCGAGTTGGAAGGGACCCTTCAGCATCATCGAGTCCAACTCCAGGCCCTGTGCAGGACGTGCCGAGAGTCACATAATGTGCCGAGGAGTATTGTCCCAATGATTCTTAACTCGGGTTGGGTGCTGCTGCCCTGGGGAGTCTGTCCCAGTGCCCAGGCATCCTCTGGGTGAAGAAGCTTCTCCTGAGATCCAGCTAAACCTCCCCTGACTCAGCTTCGTGCCTTCTCTGAGATCCAGCTAAACCTCCTCTGACTCAGCTTCGTGCCTTGTCTGAGATCCAGCTAAACCTCCCCTGACTCAGCTTCGTGCCTTCTCTGAGATCCAGCTAAACCTCCCCTGACTCAGCTTCGTACTTCAATTTTCTTGAGTCTTGTCACTGGCCATGAGACTGAAGAGATTGGTACCTGCCCCTCTGCTTCCCGTCGTGATGATGTTGAACACAATAAGGTCTGACCTCGGTCTCCTCCAGGCTGAACAAAGCAACACCTCAGCCACTCCTCATAAGGCTTCCCCTCCAGACCTTTCATCATTCTCATGGTCCTGCCCTGGACTGTCTCTAACAGAATAATGTTCTCTTTATATTCAGTGCCCAAAACTACCTGCACTATTCCAGTGAGGCCCCAGCACTGCTGAGTACAGCAGGACAATCGCCTCCTTTGATCAGCTGGCAGTGCTGCACTTAATGCAGCCAACCAAATTTCCTTCTATTCCAGCCAGCCTCATGGTACCAGAACAGTGCATCTTGTAGGTCTAGAAGGCTCATTGTTAAAATTTTATTTGACATGTGGAATAGTACAGCAATGAGAAAATTTAAAAATTCTCCAAAATTTGGAGAAAGTGGCCACTCACACCACAGAACAATTCAGGGACCCAAAACATCTCAAGTTCATAGAAGTTGTTCCTGCTTACAGGAACTGTCAGCACACAAATGTCCTCAGTATGCTCTTGCTGACCAAACTGAAGTCGCCTACATCACCAAGCCCATCAGTACACTGACTTGCAAACAGTAATCTCTTTTTAAGCTTCCCAAATTGGAAATGTCTGCTCCATTTTTCAAGAGCAAGGCCTTGCAAAATTCTCAACATTTACTCAGAATAGCAAAATTCTTAAATTTCAAAGGAGAAAGCAAGTCACATGCAGTAGAAATATTTACTGACACCCACCCAGGGAAATATAAAGCCATGCACTTTAATCCAGTTGCGTTCAGCAGAACATTTAAGCACTTAAAATATGTACCAAAGACCCTATGAAGCATGATGCCTTGTTTAAATAAGAGATTTGCCAAACACGCCTTTTATACTGAATCAGACCTTTATGGCCTACTGAGAGCCAGTCACAAAAAGCAATAGTGTCAACCAAAAGCAAAGTACCCTGCCATGCCTAAATGAGGGTGTAAGCTGTGCAGCAGCCGCTTCCAGTTACTGTTTGCTTTGCTTTCCAACCTCCAGCTGCTTCCTCATGTCTGACACATCCATGGGGACCCTCACTGTCAGACCATCCATCGACTTCTTAACGCACACCTGGCAGCCAAGGCGCGATCTGAGAAGAAAACATGAAGTGAGGCTCCTCTGTTCCCAAAGTAAAGGGAGAAATCCCCCACCCACACTGGAATGTCTGGTTCAGGATGAGTTTTCCCTAAAGCTCCTGTTAAAGATCTGCTAGCCCTCAAGAGAAAGCAGCTCTTAAGACCCAGCTATAATACAGAACAAGCCCCATCCCCTTGTAAAGAGATGCCAAGTGGTGAGAATCTGCCTCAGAGGCTTGAGGTTCTGCTGTAATCAGCAGGGAGGCTTACGTGTCAGTGAGTCCATATGCCAAGTCCAGCATGTCTAGCTCCTCGTCTGAGATGGCATCAAGCTTTTGGAAGGCCTCCTTGTCAAAGATGAGGTGACAGGTAGAGCAGGCTAATGTCCCTTCACAGGCACCTGGTGGAGAAGCAAGGGAAGGACAGCAAATCAGGGAAGATAAGGGGGTGAGAGAGACCATCTTTAGCAACACTGTGAGAAAAGGCCTTTTAACAGATCTGGAGCATGTCAAAAGAGATGCTAGGAAACACAACAGATGGATGCAGTTTACAGCCTGTCTCTTCTCAAATTTTTACATCAGCTCTATGCAGCCAAAAGCACTGACAGGCTGCTGGAATGCCAGTGTGACAGTGTGAGGTTACATTGCCATCTCACTACCATGCTGAGCCACCCAGCAAGCAGCTGGTGGGGAACAGAAGCTTGTTGATTGTCTTGGCAGAACACAGTGGCATAGGTACTGTTGCACTACTCCTAAGCACCCACTGGCCCTAACAGCACATGCACATATCCTGCTGCAACACCTACCAAATCCATCAATGGCCAAGTTGTGATTGACTACAACTTCCAGCAAACTCTGCCCTTCCTTGGCTGTGGTTGTTAGTCTCTCTCCATCCCGATTTATAAAATGCACTGTCACCTGATCCTCAGAGCTGTAAGACAAATTTGCAAAAATCACCTTTTCTGCACATCCACAAGTGAGGTCTTTTGGCTGAGACAGCAGTAGTTCCTGCTGTGGAAATGGGCCAAAGGACTCTTTGTCACCTTCATGAGTCGGTTCCCAGCCACTAGCTGTGGCCCCCACAGCTCTGGAGGCAGCACTAGCCCCTCTGACAGGTCCCCATAGCCCCAGGGATGGGAAGCAGCAATCTTGGGCTGGGTCCCTGCACCACCCCCTTCCCTCCCCATCAGCATCTGCTCACCTCAGGTGGGGGTCTCATCCCCCACTTCCCACAGGCCATGGCTTCGCTGGCCTCTCTCCTCTTCCAGCCACAGAGGTGCCTGCCCATCCCTTCGGATGCAGCAAGGCAGCATTTGACCCACCTGGATTCCCCGGGGCCATCCTGGAGCCCTTGCGTGGAGCTGAATCCTCGTTCTGCCCACCGCTCTGCTGGGCTCTGGTGCTGCTCAGGCACAGCCCAGAGGAGAAGCAGGCGAATTCTGCTGGCGCTCAGTCCACGCCGCAAGGGCCGCATGAGCCCCAAGATGCCGTGAGCCATCCTGCTGCTGGGACCTGCTCTGTGTCCCACAGCTGTCCTCTGGGGCAAGGACAGCTTGATTAGGGACTTATACGTACAGCTGGGAGGACGGGGAAGGAAAAAAAAACAAAACATAGTAGGACAGCCTCCCTGGGGGTGGAGGGAGGGAAAGCAGGAAGGAAGGATGGGCAAAGGGATTGTGCTTGGATCTTGCTGCTGTCCAGCCCATCAGGGCACGGGAATTGGTTGAAGCACAGGAACATGTGAAACATCACCTCCACATGCCAGTTTCTGAGCAATTCTCTCTTTGTTCTCTTTACAGATTTCCCTTTTAGGATCCAGAACAAAATCAAATTTCAGGAGAAATATTAATTGTGATGTCTAATCATACAAGGAGTTGCAAGTTGAGGGCCGGAAGAGCAGAGAGGCAGGAGTGCTGATGACTGCTGCCTTGAGGAGAGGGGCACACGGTTCCTACAGCAATGGAGTGAAAGCAAGACACATGAATTCTGCTCTTGACAAGATGGCATCCAGCCACATCATTGCCTTACCCAACACAGCAGGCTCCCAGCTCTAAAATGTGAATATTCACTTACTTCATATGATGGTGGTGAAGCAGAAGCAGCCACACTTAGCTGCTCATTTGCTAAACTCTCTGCGGAAAAGTACATAAAGGTGCAGATAACTATCATGTTAACTGATAATCCACACTACTAAGCCTTGAAGCCTTGCAGAAGAAAACTCTTAACTTATTCCCAGAAACACAGTCACTGGTTTAGTCTACCCTCCTGTACAGGGTAAACCCATATGAATTTAAGGGCCAAAAATACAACAGCAAAGACAGTTTCAGTTCCTGTTTTCTGTGGAGTTAGGGAACAGCTCTGACCTCAAGAGAATGAATGGTTCCTACCACCAAATTTACAGCTCACAATTTGGTAGGATGTCTGCTTTAATCAAGGTTTTTAATGCAATAACATATTGGTAGCCAGTATAAGCAAAAAAAAAAAAATGTTGATACTGGACTCTCTAAGCAATTTGTACAGGGAAAAAAACACAGCATAAGATAGAAAATGTCTGCTGCAACACAGACACACACACACAGGCATTGGATTCATAGTTCTGAAGATAACCAGAAAGTTTTGGCTTTTTGCCCCAAAATGAAAGTTTTCCACCCAAAGTTTTCAGGTTGGAAAGTTTGGAAAGAGGTGCTTAGGCTTTCTGAAAAAAGCACCAAAGACATTAAGGAATGTAAGTATTTTCCATAAGCCAGGAGGGAAATGTATTCTTCAGTTCAAAGGCAGGTGTTCAAGTGTTCAAACACACCTCTCAGACAGCTCCAGTTGAGACAAATTCATGGACAATGCATTAAAAAAAAGTAATAACATTTATCAGGTCAACTTTTCCAAGTGGTTTGCTCTCTCCTACAAGCTGCCACAAATGCTTCAAACTTCAAAGCCAAATTCTTGAGCTCCATCTCATGCCCAAATTTAAAACCATTCTGTTCAGCCTCTGCAGCTGAGAGATTGTGGCCAGTTCTGCCTTTGCTTTTCAGGCAGTACAGAGATGCAGCAGACAGCCCAGTTCTGTCTCTCAGGCATTTCCCTGGAAAGAAAGCAAGGCTTGCCACAAGAGACACAAGGAGAGGGGGCACAGCACACACAAACCACAAAGCATCTTATCTCTCCAGCAAACCTTGAGCTGAGAGAGATACATTAGATATATGCACAGCAGTTTCCACAGCAAGGACATTTGTGTGTTTGTCTGGCACTGACTCCTCTCCCTGCCAGGAACTCAGAGCACAGCAAGTGACAGGTCAATGTCACCTGATGGAAGAGAGGCCAGTGCAGGCAGGGAAGTCAGGGAGACTTTGAGGTGCAGCAAGGGGACAACAGCTCCTGGGTGAAAGCAAAACAATTCTGGGGTAGGCGAGAATCAGGCCCTTACAGATTTTGGATCATCTGTTTTAAGATCTTTGAAATACTGAGAAAGGGCAGAAGCAAGATCTCCTTTCTAATCATTGTTCATTTAGCCAAGGGCAGAAAAATAGAAAGCTTTGCAAGTAACCACCCATCCCAAAAAAAAAAAAAAAAAAAAAACCAAAAAAACAACAACAACAACAAAAAAACCCCAAACAAAAAAAACCAACAACAAAAAAACTTCACAATTTTGCTTCACAGGTCAGCATATATTTTATAAGAAGGCCAGACACAGCTGAAGAGAACTCTTAGCTCTGCTTCAAGGATGGTTTGGCTGGAACCAACTTCCCAGCAGTGCACACAGGCACACTGCCCCCCACCTCCCTGGTCTCTTGCCAGCAGGCTCCACTCTGTCAGTGCAGTGGCTATGGCCACACATCCAGTCATGTGCAGGCACACACTGGTAAGGAAGTGGCTTCCTAGCTTGAAATACACTGTCCAGTGTCTTCTGTAGCACACACCAAACAATGTGCTCCTCCCTCCCCCCAGTCTAGGTGCTCTCATGCAAATATCCAAAACACCTGTGAGCTGCCTCACCTCAGCCCTGACTTCTGCACAAGTGAGCACTGAAATCAGCACTGGCCTAACCCAACCAGAAGCTACATGACATCTTTGCAGCCCTCCACAGTGAGAAGCATACTTGGATTTTTGGGATACCAAACCCAGCTCCTCTGACCACTGTTAGAGTTTCTTGCCAGCAGGCAGAGCTGCCCTGGCTCAGGCACTGCCCGTGCTGTTCAGGTGTAGAGAGAGGTAAGCTCGTGCTGGTCCCATGGGGGAAGTCTCAGGGACTGTAGTCAGAGCAGCAGGCACACAGACCCAGGAATAATGAAGATTTCCAGAAGGCAACCTTCATTAATTGGAAAAGCAAGAAGAATTTACCCCTCCCCTCCTACCACACCCACTGCCTCACAAGTACTCCTGTAGGGAAGTAGATATGGGCTGCTTGAGACGCAGAACTAAAGCACTGAACAAAACTAAAATTCACCTTTCGCATTGTCACTTTAAAAACCCGTTAACCGCCTTTCCTGTTCCAGAGCAAGTTGCTAATAAAAGCAATCAGAACAACTTGTACTGGTTTCACTTTTTGGAAGCCTACAAACCCAGACAGTGCTTCTGCTGCCTCACAAGAGATGCACTGAGCACAGATCCAGGACAAAGTGCACACACCAAGTGAGCTCAAGTCACAGATTGTGCCTCAGAGAATGTAAATGTGCCTCAATTTCAGCATCTCTCAAACAAAACTGCCCCATTCAAACCTTCCCTAGATGTTCAGCAACCTTCTGAGAGTGACACAAACAAAAGGAGCAAGAGCCATACTCTCACCACTGGAAGCAGGAGGGCAGACATGCAATCAGAGATGGACTGGCGCTGCAACAAGAAATCACAATGAATTTACAATAGGGCTTCTGGACTGCAGCCACGTCTGACAATGCAGCTGCTGCCTGCCTGGGTGAAGGCCACTAAGAAATTACTGTGCCCCAGCCAAGACCTTCACTTGCACATGCTTCTCCTTCAAGCATCCAGTCAAGGATGCTTCAAAGATGGATGGGAGTGCAATAGTGCTGCATGTGGGGTATAGACAGCCTTCACCATAACCTCCCAGCTCAAGATCAGCTTATTTCACACCCTCTTCAGTCAAATTTGTTGACTCAAGACCAATCTCAGGCTGCATTTTGTTAAAGGATGATGCACAACTACAGGCTTTAGCAATCATGGGGGCTTGTAATTTTTAAATTATCTCTGCTCACCATAAATATGTGTATTAACACCTGCTCTGTGCATTCTAACCAGAAGCTGAAGGTACAGTCTCTGCAACAAGCAAACAAGCATCCAGTATTACTTTTTGCAGTTTCAACACTACTTTTTCTCTAATACCTCCTAATTCTTCCACTTTTCACTACACTGCTCATCCTGACACCTGCCCTGAAAAGCTTTATCTTGGAATTGCTAGTAACATTTAGAGGTTCATGACCTGGAGCTTGATACTCACTTAGGCATTGTTCAGACACAGGGACCTGCTCCCTTGCCTACAAACTGCACTTGGAACTGCAAACCTGCAAGACAAAAGCCAACCTCAGCCTAGCATTTCATACATTGAGGCCCAGACCCCTTTTTTACAGAATGCTTTGGGTTGGAAGGGATAAAGATCATCTAGTTCCAATTCCCTGACCATGGGCAAGGGTGCCACCCACCAGACCAGATTTCTCAGGGCCTCATCCAACCTAACCTTGAACATGTCCAGGGATGGGGCATTTTTCTTACAGAAGTAATTTTTTCTGCAAGGGAGACCTTAACATCACATGTGGCCTCAATTTACATATGGGTATGCAACAGTTATGGGTGACATTAGACAGAGGAATTCTGTTCTGTGCCAGTTGTCACATGCTCTGAGATTATATGCCCTGGTATAAGACATTTAAAATTACAGCCAAGATTGAGTTATGCACAGCTGCAAAGCTGGCAGGGAACAGAGCAGTCATACTGATGGTACAGGGCAAACAAGGCATGCCTTGGGTGCTCTCTGCTTTCTCACTTCAGTCTGTCTTTGTAGGTGCTCCAGCAGCTGCCATACGAGTGCCTACAATTATCATACCTTACCCTGTACATTACCAAGCTTAGGATGCTGGAAAATACTTGTGTTTCCCTCCAAACATATTATCCTGAGCAAGAAATGAATAAGCTGTTCATCTACCTAGAAAAATTCCTACAGGGCTTGTCTGCATCAAAGCAAATCAGAATTTGGAGATCATGCCCTTGCAATTCCTGCTTTAGAAAGAGTAAAGAGAAGGAGGAAGCAATCAGTCTTATTTTCTGCAGCTACTTTGTCTTACTTGGAGTCAGTGCATCTCAGGACAAATGCATTAGTCTACCAAACAGACTGAACTCAATGAATATTTTACTCTACAGAGTTAGTTTGGCTTTTCTTTAGAGTTCTTAATAAATTGCACTGCTTAATAAAGCAACATTGCAGAACCTGCAAAAAGACAGCGTTTCTAGTCCCCCAGCCTTCTGAGAGCCTTTTACACTCTAGTCTGCCCCAGTCCTGCAGACAGAGGCAGATGGGCCCCAAACATTTGTAGATATGGCTTAAACTTGATCTGAAACATCCCAGACCAACAAATCCAACAGAATCTGTCTACAAAAATTAGGGGTTAAACACAAATTTCTGATCCTAAACTACAGAATGCCTTACAACAAACTAGAAGAATAGGGTCTGTACAGGATCATTTTTTTTTTTCACATGGTCCAGTACAGTAGCAGTC